CATCATAGTGTTGTTAAGGGGGAGTTCCAGGATTTTGACGCAGTGACTGTGAAGGAACAGAGATATATTTTTTTGTGTGGCTTGGGGGCGGCGGGGTGCGATCTTGCAGGTGATGGTGTTCCCATGCCTTAGTTGTCTTTGATCTTCCAGATGATAGAAGTTGTAGTTTCATTAGGTATGTTGAAGAAGTTAAAGGAATAGGAGTTGACCATTCAGCCTTTCGAGCCTATTTCGTGTGATCATGGCTGATCTATACACAACCTCCATAGACGTGTCTGACCCATATCCCTTAGTAGCCTTGCTTATCAAAATTTATCTATTTCAGATTTAAAATGAACAATTAATCCAGCATCCACAGCTGTTTGTGGAAGAGAGTTCCAAATATCTACTACCCTTTGTGTGTAGAAGCGCTTTCTATTATCTCGCCTGGACAGTCTGGCCCTAATTCTCAGACTATGCCCCTTAATTCTAGAATCCCCAACCAGTGGAAATAGTTTATCTTTATCTTTTCCTGTTAAGTCTTCCTGCTGAAGACTTTGATCAGATGACCCATTAACCTTCTAAATTCTAGCAAAAACAGGCCTAATATAATCTCTTCTCATAATTTTACCCCTCAAGTCCAGGTATTGTTCTTGTAAATCTATGTTGTACTCCCTCCAAACTCAATATCTCCTCCTTAAGGTGTGGTGCCCAGATCTATCCCGTGTTCAACACGGGATCTAACTGGGATTTTGTATAACTGCAGCATAATGTTTGTGTCCTCGTACTCCAGTTCTTTAGATAAAAAGCCCAGCATTCTATTAGCTTTCTTGACTAGTTTCTGTACCTGAGTCCCTTTGGACATCCATTGTATTTAACTTCATTCCATCCGGAAAGTCTGATCTATCCTTTTTTGGTCCAAAGTGGATAATCTCATGCTTGTTTAAATTGGGTAAAACTGTGGCAGCTGCAATTAATTCACTTCATCTATCAACATCTCCTTGTAATTTTATGCTATTATCTACACTGTCTACAAAGTTACCTAACTTTGTGTCATCAGCAAATTTTGTTTTTGACTTTCAATGCCATTGTCTAAGTTATTAATAAATAATGCAAATGACTGAGGTTCTAAAACTGATCCTCGTGGGACACCACTGGTCACGTCCTGCCAATTTGAGTGCCTATCCTTTCTCCCAACTTTCTGTTGCCTGCCGCTCAACCAATTTTCCAGGATGGCTGCTGCAGTGCATCTTGGTAGATGACGAACATTGCTACCACTGTACGTTGGAACTGAAGGGAATGCGCGTTTATGCTGTGGAGTGGGTGCCAGTCAAGCAGGCTGCTTTGTCCTGGATGATGTTGAATGTTTTGTGTTGTTGGAGCTGCACCAATCTAGGCATGTGGAGAATTCCATCACCCTCTTGACCATTGTCTTGTAGATGGCAAACAGGGTTTGGGAAATTAAGAAGTGGGTTACAGACTGAAGAATTCTTAACCTTTTGACCTATGCTTTTAGCCACATTTATTTACATTTAGTCTAGTTCAATTTATGGTCAAAGGTAACCCCGAGAGATGTTGATAATGGGGGTTTGTTGATGGCAGTGCCTTTGAATATTATGGTGATATAGTTGAAGTCTCTTTTGATAGTAATTGTTACAATGGAGCGAATGTAACTTGCCAGTTATCAGCTCATATCTAAATGCAGTCCAAGTCTTGCCGCATATGGACATGGACTGCTTCAGTATCTGAGCAGTCACAAATGGTGCTGAATCTTTGTGTAGTAAGCATGGTCGTTCCCATGGACTTTCTGCTGGAGTCAATGTTAGTTAAAGCAGCTGATGATGCGTAGCCCTGGGACACTACCTTGTGGAACTTCTGCAGTGACGCCCTGAGACTGAGATGATTGGCCCCCAATGACCACAGCCATCTTTCTTTGTGCTAGGTATGGCTATAGCCAGTGGCGAGTTTTCCCCTAATTCACCCTGCAAAGTAGTTTGGGACATCCGGAGGTTGTGCAAGGTGCTATAGAAATGCAAGGTATTGCCTTTCCTAGTGACAGTAATACATTAACAGCAACTGTTCATTGTTTCATGCATTGACCTGTTATCCAATTCCAAAATAAACCTTATCTGTTGAGTATTGTTTATCCAATTTCATCATAAACCTTACCTGATATAATTTTGCGTGCGTTCATTAATGCCACACTTGGTAAAATGCGTCACTCTCACCTCATACTTCAGCTATTTTATCCATGTTTGGATCAAGGCTGTAATGAGGTCAGGAGCTGAGTGACCCTGCCAGGCCTAAACTGGACATCAGTGAGCAGATCATCATTAAGTGAGTGCCATTGATAGCACTGTCAATGACCCCTTCAATCTTGTGGAACAGTCTTTGCTAGAATAACTAGGGATGCTAGAAGTGTCCCTGTAAAATAATTAAATTATGAGAGCTTCTCAAACAGCTATTGCTATTTAAGCTGTAAAAAGTGTCACAAGCCATTAAAGTGAAGAACAGCATGCTTCAAGGCTGAGTGTTGTACAGAATTATCACACACTAGATATTTCAATGCTTTATTTAAATTTTACAGTAAAAGTACATAAGGAAATGTTTATGATGGAATCTGATAGAGTGCTGATTTATGCATGACTCAAGGACAGTTATTTTGATGTATCGGTGTCGTCAGAAATAACTTGGATTTCTTTTGTACCTTTCACAACCATGGGACATCCTAAAACACTTTACAGTCAATGAAATGCTTTCTGAATTCTAGCCAGTGTTCTAATGGAGGAATTGTGGCAATCAGTTTGCAACCAGAAAGCTCTCATAATTGATAATGACTAGGGGGTTTGTTTTTAGTAATGTCAGCTAGGTACTGAAGAGACCCCACCCTCCTGCTCTTCTTTGAAATGGTGTGTAGGCTATTTGCATCCACTTGAGAGGATAATTGAGGCTTTGTTTCACAACTGATCCTGAAAATGGCACCTTGACAGTGCTAGAAGGAAGGTTAGTCATGTGTTATGCTGAAGCATCTCTTGAACCTGTGATCTTCTGACTTGAGGTGAGAATATGACTGACATGATCTGTGTACCCTATCAGGTCTCCTAATTTTGTAATTGATAAACTTATAGAATTATTATTTCTTTATTCATTCGCAGGATGTTGGAATGCTGATAAGACCAGCATTTATTGCCTATCTCCAAATACCCTTAACTGGGTGGTTGGCTAGGCACTCCAAAGATAGTTAAGAGTCAGCCATATTGCTGTAGGTCTGGAGTCACATGTCGGTCAGACTAGGTAAGGCTAGCAGATATAATTTTTTGAAGGACATCTCTGAGTCAGAAGTGTGAATAGGGCATGGTCACCATTACTGATACTGGCTTTTCATTCCAAATTTATTTATTGAATAGACGTTTAGAAGACAGAGGAGACCTTAGTAAAAGTCAACTATTAGGGGCTTGATAAGGTTACGGAGAGTTTGCTTCTCCCTTGTGGGAGAGTCTAGGACCAGAGGGCATGATCTGGTTTTTTTTTGTTGTCTGTAGGGGTAGTCCATCTGCGGAATTCTTTACCACACAGGACTATCAAGGCTGGATCATTCAGTACATTTATGGCCAAGATACAGATTCACAATCAGTAAGACAATTGAGGATTATAGGGATAAGGCAGGAAAGTGGAGTTGAGAATTGTCAGATCAGCCATTATCTTATTGAATGGTGGAGCAGACTTAATGGGCCGAATGGTCTACTTCTGACCTCGTAATTTCATGTACCCCAGTTTCCATGGTAGACTTGAGTTCATGTTTGTTGATCATTAGACCAAACCTCTGGATTACTAATCCAGTTACACAGTCACCACACTGCTATTCCCCAGTTGGTGGTGCTGTGTAAACTGTCAATTTTAAGGCAAGCTTCAACTCCCACTTCCTTCAACTCAAGATATGTCAGGCTGGTATAACGCTATTGCAAAATACTGTGGATGCTGAAAATGCTTGCAATTGTCTGCAGACCAGGAATGTCTGCAGAAAGGTAAAACAAGTAAATGGTATCCTTTCATCAGCTGCTAGACATGAAATTTTAACTATTTCTCTCTGCAAAGGTGTCATCTAGTTTGCTGTATTTGCCACATTTTCTATTGTGACAGTACTAATTGCTGCATTGTGTGGGGAAAAAAAAATGCCCACCACACTCAAAATGTAACCCTGTCATATCGGAGAGCTTTGTTTATAGGATATCATGAGATAAATCAGAGCTCCAGGTTCATGATATAAATACTGTTCTGAATGCTTTTAAATTTGCTAGTTAAATGTGATGTTGGTTAGCTATGAATGAGTTCCTTCAGTACAGCTATTGAGAGATTTTGTAGATCACTTTTATTTTTTGGACAAAAGTGTGCGAAGATGTAACAAAATTTGGGGGTGGTGTGGTGGCTCAGTGGTGAGCATTGCTGCCTCACCGTGCCAATGACTCATGTGGCTGTGTGGAGTTTGCACATTTTCCCTGTGTCTGTGTGGGTTTCCTTCATGTCATGTGCTTTGGTTTACTCCCACAGTCCAAAGCTGTGCAGGTTAGGTGGATTGGCCATGGGAAATACAGAAATAGGGTAAGGGTTTGATCTGAGTGGAATGCTGTTTGGAGGGTTGATGCGGCCTTGATGGGCTGAATGGCATGCTTCAACCCTGTAGGGATTTTTATGATTCTATGAAAAGAATCCTCTTCATTGAATCTTTGAAATCCCTGCTTTTATAAAATATTCAGAGGCTGTAGTTTCTGGAGTATCCCTTCAAATTTTCATAGCTGCGTGATAATGCTGTGAAATGCCTTATGCAGAGTAATTTTGTTATAACAGAGTATGAATCTGTCTTTTCTTTGGTGCCTCTGTTACCCCCTGGTTGTGAAAGCACAATGTGACCTTTAGACATTCAGCCTTTAAGGATGTTTCCTCATTCTTTCCTGTCAGAACAGAGAATCTCATTTGCAGGTTGAAAACACCTTTTGCTCTGAACCTTTTACTTTGACTGAAAGCAGCAGAGTTAATGGCTTTTCAACTTCTAATCCAATACTCCAAGAAATATAAATTGAACAAAGGTAATAAAGGTTTCTAATGCAATTTGAGAGATAGGTAAAGGCTTACTATGCATGTAGATAATGTTAATTACTTGCGTAATAATCTATGCCATGACTGACATACCGACGAAGGGACAAAATATTTCCATTCCTTCTTTTGATCGTTTTCCATTTTATGCAGTTATGTGAGCTTCACTTCAAAATGTGCCTTGCACAAGACTCTGTTATCAGGAAGCATTGCTTTGAGCATGTGAGCAGTAATTAATACTCTGTGCCAAATGTAACAAAAATGCGTTGATATGGTTTGCAGTCCAGGACCTCGAGAAACTACATTCTGCATTCAAAAACCAAGCAGAACGGTGGATTTATCAGTGAAATATCGCATTTATCTGAATAGGGCCAAAACAAACAAATTGTCGGGGTTTGAACTGGATGTGAGTTATTGTCAATTTGACATGACACAAATTGGGGGGTTACTGCTAAATATGCTACTAGTGATTTTTTTTAAAGTACACAGCTTGATTAGAGTTTTCCCCCTTTATTGCGTTTAATGAGTTATCATATGTGCATTCTCAAATTTTAATATCCTGGTTAAATTATTTTGCCTATTTTTTGTAATAATATGGCGTTGGAAAGATGACCAACACAATAAACAAAAATGGCAAAATCAGATGAAAGAAATAAAAACAAGTGTTGGAAATATGCAGCACATCTGGCACAATTGACTATTCATGTGCGATCATCCTGCAGAACTGCTCTCACTCCTTTCCCTCCCTCCCAGAACCACAAAACAGTTCCCCTTGACTTCACCTTCCACATTAAACACCACCTCCAAACATATTCTCCCCTCTCATCATTTTTCAGCATTCCAGCAAAACTGTTTCCCCGCAACACCCTGGTTCACTCCTCGGTCATCTACAACACCCACCCATTTTCCATGACACCTTTCTTTGCAAGTGCAGGGGATGCAAAAGCTGCCCTTTTACCTGCACCCTCTGTGTCCATTGTATCAAACTTTCCTTCATGGGAACTGTGATTTACTTGTGCTGGTTTAAGTTTAGTTATGATATTTGCTGCAGACAACATGGCTTTTCTACACTGGGGGAGCCAGTTTGGGTGACCACTGTGCAGAATGTTTCGTTCAGTCCGAAGGTGTGACCCTGAGCTTCCAGTCACCTGTCATTTTAATTCTCCGCCTTGCTTTCCCTCTAAATTTATTATCATCTGCCTGCTGTAGTCAGCCAGTTAAGCTCCAAGCACACTCAAGGAACAGCACCTCATTTTCAGCTGGGCATTTTACAGCTCTTTGGACTTAGTATTATGATAAACTATTTCAGTCATAACATTCTGCCCTTGTTTTCTCTCATTTTTCTTCATTAATGTGTTTTTCACTTATTTTCATAATTTCCTTTTAGTTTGCTTTCAGATGGCAGTTGCTTTCCTCCGCTGGGTGGACCTTGTCCCTCCCTACCTGCAGACCCAAAACTTCAGATCGTTATGCTCTTCCTCTTCTGCATCCCCAGTTTTTATTGTTCCACTGGTGGAGGCTGTGCCTTCTGCCGTGTACACCCTAAACTCTGGAATTCCCTAAACCTATCTGACCATCTACCCCGCCCCCCAATTTGTTACAGTGCTCCTTAATACCTATCTTTGACTGGACTTTTGGCCAGTTATTAAAGCACTAGAGAAGGTCAGCAGGTCTGTCAGCACCTGTGGAGAGAGAAAAAACAAAGTTGGCATTTTGAGTTTGATATGTTCCCTCTCTGGTCATATCAGACTCTAAATGTTAGCTCTGTTTCTCTCTCTCTACCGATTCTTTCAGACCTGCTGAGTTCACTTTGTTTTTATTTCAGATTTCTAGCATCTGCAGTATGTTATTTTTATATTGGTCACTGATGTCTGCTTTCATTTTACCAGATAATATTCTTGAGGTGTGCCTTGGATATTTTCCACCTTTTAAGGACACTATATAAATGGAAGTTGCTATTGATGAGGAGAGCCTGAATAAGCTTGGTTTGTTTTCTTTGGAGCAGAGAAGGTTGATGGGGGACCTGATAAAGGTGTATAAGATTGAGGGGCATGGATAGGGTAGGTAGGAAACAGCTATTCCCTTTAGTTGAAAGGTCAGTAACAAGGGGGCACACTTTTCAGGTGATGGCAGGAGGTTTAAAGAGGACTTGAGGAAACATTTTTTTCTCCCAGAGCATGGTAGGAGTCTGGATTGCACTGCCTGGGATGATAGTTGAGACGGTAAGTTCACAACCTTAAAAAGTACTTGAATGTTATGACACTTCGTGTTTATCCAAAACTATGGGACTAGTATAGATCAAGTGTATTTTTTGGCAGTACAGACTTGATGGGCTGTAGGGCCTCCTCTGTAATATGATTGTATGATTTGTGGCTGAGGCCTTTTGTCCAGTTCTTCCTGGTTTTGTAACAGTGGTAGGCTTTTGTTGGAAGTCCAAAAACAATGTCTACCAGAATTAGCAAAACACCCTTTGGTGTACATGCAACCAGCTTCAGTTTTCAATGAACCCATTATCTGGGCTGAAGTTCATGCTGTCTGTATTTGTCAAATTCTAATTTTATTACTGGAGTCAGGGTGGGTCCCTGAGGACTGGAAAATGACTAATGTTACACCCCTGTTTAAGAAGGGAGCTAGGTGGAATACAGGAAACAATATGTGGTTAGCCTGACCTCAGTCATTGGTAACATTTTAGAGTCTGTTGTTAAAGTTGAGATGGTGGAGTACTTGGAATTGCATGGTAAAATAGAGCTGAGTCAGCATGGCTTTGTCAAGGGGAGGTCACGCCTAACAAATTTGTTAGAATTCTTTGAGGGAGTAAGAGCAAGTTAGACAAAGGAGAGCCAGTAGACGTGATCTATTTGGATTTCCAGAAGGTCTTTCATAAGGTCTTTCATAAGGTGCCACACAGGAAGCTGCTAAATAAGAGCCCATGGTGTTAGCGGCAAGGTACTGGCATGGATAGAGGATTGGCTGACTGGCAGAAGGCAAAGAAAAGGGATAAAGGTGTCTCTTTCTGGATGGCAGCTGGTGACTAGTGGAGCTCTGCAGGGGTCAGTGTTGGGGGGGCCACAACTATTCACGTTGTACATGAAGATTCTGGACAAAGGAACTGAAGGCGTTGTTGCTAAGTTTGCAGATGACCGAAAGATAAGTGAAGGAACAGGGAGTGTTGAGGAGGCGGGGAGGCTGCAGAAGGACTTGGACAGGCTAGGATAGTGTGAGAGGAGAAGTGACAGATGGAATACAATGTGGAAAAGTGTGAAATGCACTTCGCTAGGAAGAATAAAGATGTAGATTACTTTGAGTCCTAGTTGAGGACTCCCTTCGGGTTAACATGAAGGTTCAGTTTACAGTGAGGAAGGTAAATGAAATGTTTGCATTCATTTCAAGAGGGCTGGAATACAAGAGCAGAGATGTACTGCTGAGGTTATGTAAGGCTCCAGTCAGATCACATTTGGAATATTGTGATCAATGTTTGGCCCCATATTTAAGGAAGGATGTGCTGGTCAGGGAGGGGGTTCAGAGGAGGTTCACATGGATGATCCCAGGGATTAAGGGTTTGTTTTATGAGGGACAGTTAAGGACTCTGAATCTGTACTCAGTGGAGTTTAGAAGGTTGAGGGGGGATCAGATTGAAATTTCCAGAATACTGAATGGACATGAAGATGATGTTTCCACTAGTAGGGAGAGACTAGGACCCGAGGGCACAGCCTCAGAGTGATAGAACGACTCTTTAGAACTGAGTTGAGGAGGAATTTCTTCAGCCAGAGAATGATGAATCTGTGGATCTCATTGCTGCAAAAGGCTGTGGAAGTGCAGTCATTGAGTGTATTTAGGACAAAGATAGATAGGTTCTTGATTAGTAAGAGGGTTCAAAGGTTACAGGGAGAAGGCAGGAGAATGGGGTTGAGAAACACATCAGCCGTGATTGAATGGCAGAGCAGACTTGATGGGCCAAATGGCCTGTCAGTTCCTATATCTTATGGTCTTATAGTCTAAATGGAATTTGTGTGGATTCTGTGAAAACTGCAAGTTGTTAGTCTATGCCTGATTAATTCTTCAAGTGTAATATCATTGGGTTTTTTTTACGGTAAATCTCTATAGCTATTAGTAAATTTACGTATTAGCAAATGCAATTGTTAATTTAATGTGATAAATAAAAGAGCCCTGACATTTCCTTTTCATTTGTTTCCTAATCTAAGAATAAGGCACTAAGTGCCCTTGTTCAAGTTAATTACTTAGAATAAGCTCTGAGATTCAAGGGAACAGGATTGTACAATGCAGCAGACAAAGTGGGTTTAGTAAAGGAGCTGCATTTAGTTTTGAGGATTTGAGGCATTAGAAGGTTAATTACAGAACTGTGTTGGGATAAGACCAAGAGGTAGCCTGCTGCATTAAACACTCTTTGAAAAATGTAAAACTAGGTGGCACAGAGAATTGTCACTCTTGCTCTACTGCGCTGCCTGATAGGTAGAGAACAATATGTACTCGGTGAGCTGCTGACAGTGGCCCACCTGAGGTTATGAAAATGTCTTGTAATAAAAAGCAATGTCACTCAGACGGATGGTGCCAAATTAAAACTGTGATAGAAGATGCAGATCTTAAGAAAACAAAATAGGCTTTTGAACAGTAACAAATTGTTGTAAATTGAATGCATGGGTTGCTGCAGTTAGTTGACTCTGCAGTGAAATAGAAGTATAAGTATATATTTTCTAAATCTAGCTGATGTGCCCTATTTTTGTTTCAGATTTTGATTTTAGTGTGCCAGGTTCAATGAAGCTTCACAATCTCATCTCTAAGCTAAAGAAATGGATAAAGATTCTGGAAGCAAAAACCAAGCAACTGCCTAAATTCTTTCTGATCGAGGAGAAGTGTCGGTTTCTTAGTAACTTCTCTGCACAGACAGCAGATGTGGAAATCCCAGGAGAGTTCCTTATGCCTAAACCGACACATTATTACATCAAAATCGCACGGTTAGTGGATCTTTGTGTTCTGTAATATTTGGGATAATGCTATTTTGTAGAAATGTCTTTTCTCATTGGTGTTCAGATTTGTTTTGACCTTTTCTAGTCTCCTAGAGAAGAAGATAAGAAATGTGAACTGGAGTAAACTTTACAGCCAAGACAGAAGACTTAGCGGAGACCTAACTGACTTGTTTAAAATTGAGGATAGGTTGGAGAGGGAAGATATGCAACTTGTGGGAGAATCAAAATGAGAAGTCATAAATATAAGGTAGTTCACTAATAAATTGAACAGGTAAACACAGAAAAATGTCTTCACTCTGATTGAAATGCAGAATTGTTTGAAGTGAACAGTTTAGATCAGGTTTCTCCAACAGTGGCCTTGCTAGAGTGAGAATATGACCTATGCAGTCTGTGTATGTAACCTTGTAGACTTTGTCTGCGACACATTGGAATATCAGCTAAATGGATTTGAATTTTTCTGTAGTTCTGCTTGTCCAATCACAGACCATTTTTCTCTCCCATTCGATGCTAATATGTTCACTGTGAACCTATCAACAGAAAATGAAGGAGAGAAAAAGATTGTGATTGGATGAACAGTGATCAATGTGACTGCTCTTTAATTTCCACAGGGTCTATTCTGTCTCTGCCTTTGGCTATGCTGTCTCTCTCTCTCTCTCTCGCACTCTCTCTCTCTCTCTCTTGCACTCTCTCTCTCTTGCACTCTCGCTCTCTTGCACTCTCGCACTCTCTTGCACTCTTCTATACAGGAGTCGCCCCCTAACTGAGCACAAGATGGCAGCACAGACCAGGGAAGCAATGTGGAAGAACAGTTGAAGCAACAGCTGCCCATGGCAGCTGGAACCTTAAACAGCACACATCCACCTCCCCAGGGCAGCTAGAGTGTTAAACAGCACAGCCATCCCAAAAGTTAGTAAAATGTCCCATCTGCAAGGCCCAGGAAGAAGGGAAAGATGGAGCATGGAAGGGAAGGGAGCATGTCCCACTGAGGTTGAGAGTGAACCAGATTCACACGCACATATGCACGTACCTTTGTCTGCCTCATCCTCTTCCTTCCCAGAAACACATCCACAAACTATACTAATGAGAGGAGATCCAGGCTGAAAGGCAACCTGCTTCCAGTGCCCGCTTTGATATGAATTGTCCCAAGGCCAGTTTAGAGTTTTGCACCAACAGAGATGAAAGCTAAAGTCAGTGTCAGTTGAAGGGCAGGCGATGGTCTAGTGGTATTATTGCTAGACTATTAATCCAGAGACCCAGGTAATGTCCTTGGGACCCAGGTTCCATGGCAGATCATGGAATTTGAATTCAATAAAAATCTGGAATTAAGAGTCTAATGATGATCGTGAATCCATTGTTGATTGCTGGATAAACCCATCTGGTTCGCTGATGTGAAGGAAACTGCCATCCCTTACCTGGTCTGGCCTACATGTTACTCTAGACCCACAGCAATGAGGTTGGCTTTTAACTGCCCTCTGGGTAATTAGGTATAGCCAATAAATGCTGGCCTAGCCAGCGACACGCTCATCCCGTGAATGAATTTTTTAAAAAACCCACAGCCTTAGTTGGGCTCTTAGTGAAAAGGGACAAGAAATATATACGGAAAGGCTGAACTGAGTTGAATGGAATGGAGGGGGACCTTGAATGGAAAGCAAAGACCAGAACAGATTAGTCGAGCTGAGTACAGTGAAACATTTCAGGGCCATTGTGCAGCTGATCAGGATCACTGAAGTGAGATGAAAACAATAATCGAACCTTGACAGCATAGGAGAGCTGTGAGTTGATTGGCTGGTGAGTATTGTAGCTTTCTCTCCCTTAATTCAAAAGTTAGGAAGTAAGTCTAAGGAGCTGCAAAGTTTAAATCTTTTTAATATAATAGAGATAAAGAAAAGCATTTCAATTAATCTTTATTTAAGTGACAACCGGAGAAAGTGTGAATAGCTGATGGATTTTATTCTATGTCATAAGCTTTATTATCTAATAGATATGGCACAGCAGCTTGGACCTAGAAGGCACACTCTGTTCCATGAGAGGAACAGTGTGCTGGAGGGAGATAGTATCTTGTATGGGTCAAGGACAGGAGGTCATGGCGGGGTGGGAAGCCAACTTCAACTGGATTAAGAATGATTGTGGCCTAGATGAATCAGAATCAAAGATAAGCAGGCAAAACTGTAACTAAAAAATTGGCTGCCTTTAAAGAAGAGAGTTCAAAAGCAGTCAGGGTAAAGACCCATGTCGGGGGAAGGTAAGGCAAAAAAACCCAAAACGCCCTGGATGACGAACAAGACAGAAGTTGAGGTGAATCTGAAAATATGTGCTTACGACAGTGTCTGTTTGATGATATAATTGAGAACTAGGCTGAAAATAAAAGGTCAAAGGGGGACTGAAAAACGAAGAAAGAAAAGCTAAGAGAGGAGTTGGCAATTTATACAAAAGGGCAGTCTAATGTCTTCTATAAACATGTAAATAATCAAAAGGATGGATGAAGGAGGAATAGGGCTAATTGGTGACCAAAAAGGGGATAAATGCATAGAGGCAGGAGCCGTGGTTGAGTTATTAAATGAATACTTTGCATCCACCTTTCTCAAGATGCTACCTAGACCATGGAGAAAGAGGACATGGCTCAGACATTTGAAGAAGGGTTTTCAACTGATAAGGAGAAGCTATTGGGTCAACTGCTTATATTTAACACTAGAACTGAATGAGATGCTTCCAGGATAATTAAGAAAGTAAGAGTGGTAAATGCAAAGGCACTGCTCATAATTTTGAATCTTCCTTAGATTCAGGGATAAAAGGCTGTTTAATGTTTTAACGAAGATCTGTAGCTCAGGTTGCAGCTGGAGTTGTTGGTTGGTTCGCCGAGCTGACTGGTTTTCGTGCAAATGTTTCGTCACCCTTCCAGGTGACGTCGTCAGTGCTGTGTAGCCTCCGTTGAAGCAGTCTTATTCTGTCCCACTCTGAATTTATATTGTCCAATCTGTCATGGTGGGCAGTGTTGGTTCCGGTTTTTTATTGTAGTGGTATGTAAATGGGGTCTATTTTGACATATTTGTAAATTGCATCGGTGGTTGAAAACCAGGCCTCCAGGAATTTTTATGCTTGTCTTTGTCTTGCTTGTCCTCATACTGTGACTTTGTCCCAGTCAAATTTACGTCCTTCTATGTCGGAGTGTATTGAAATGAGGGAGAATTGGTTGTGCTGTTTTGCTGTGAGTTGGTGTTCATGTATCCTGGTGGCGCGCTTCTTGCCAGTTGGTCCTATGTAGTGCTTCTCGCAGTAGTTGCATGGTATTTTATATATCACATTTGTCCTGCTCATTGTGGGTATGGGATCTTTCGTCTTTGAGAGTAACTGGTGAAGTGTGACTGTTCTCCCTCGTTTCAATACACCCCAACATAGAAGGACATCAGTTACAGTACTAAGAAAAGTGAGACAAACACAAGCACGAGAATTCCTGGAGGCCTGGTTTCCCGCCACCAATGCAATTAACAAGTATATCGAAATAGACCCCATCTACATAGCACTATGGTACAAAATCGGAAACAAGACTGACCACCATGACAGACCATATAAGTTCGGAGTGGGACTGGACAGCACCGCTTCAATGGAGGCTACACAGCACTGATGATGATGCCTAGAAGGGAGACAAAACATTTGCATGAAAACCAGTCAGCTTGACGAACCAACCAACAACTCCTATAAAAGGCTGTTGTGGTAGTGTCCCTACCTCTGAATCAGGGAACCTGGTTCAAGTCCTATCTGCTCCAGAGTTGTGTAATAATATGTCAAAAAAGAGATTAGAAAATCTTGATTCAGAGTTAGTGCCAGAAAACTGGAGATCTGCAAATGGTGTACCCTTTTTCAAGAAGGGAGTAAAGATGACTACTAGCCAGTCTGTTTAATCTCTGTGGTGATGAAGCATTTAGAGACACTGATAAGAGCGAAAATTAATTATCACTTGGGCAAATGTAGATTAACTGGGGAAAACCAGCATAGATTTGTTCAGGACAAATCATGTTTAACTAACTTGGTTGAATTTTATAATGAGGTAATGGTGAGTTGAAAGAACAGTGTTGGAATTTAGTTAGCTCATTTGGCTGGCTGCAGGTTTATAGTGCCAACAGTATGGTTTCAATTCCCACACCAGCTGAGGTTGCCATGAAAGGCTCTCCTTCTCAACCTCTCCCCTCACCTGAAACATGGTGACCCATAGATTAAACCACCACAAGTCATCTCCTGCTCGTGGGAGAGTAGCCTTGTGGTCTGGTAAGACTATGGCATCTTTATCTTGACTTACTTTATTGATGTGATGTATATGGACTTCCAAAAGTTATTTGATACACTGCTGAATGGCCTTCCTTTGTGCTGAAACTATCTCTGATTCTGTGAAAAACCTATGTATATTCTGTTGTTCTAATTTATGGACCATTAAAGTTAGTTAGTCATCTTTTCAGCAAAGCAAAGTACAAGCGGAGGTTTGCTGCTGTTCAAAATCATAAGGAATTGTGCTAGACTAAATAAGGAGAAATTGTTTCCAGTGGTAGCAATTCTGTGCATCAGAGGGGACAGATATGTGGCAAAACAATTAGTGAGTATTAGAGGATGGGGTGAGAGGAAGATCAGACTCTTTCTTATTCAGCAAGTTCATGTCCTGGAAGTCATCTGTCTGAAAGAGCCGAGATGCATTCAATAATTTTCAAATTGCTTTTGGATAAATACTTGAAAAGGAAGAAAAATTGCAAGACTATATGGAAAGAACAAGGAAGTGGGCAGTTGAAGAACTGACACAGCAAAATAGACCAATGCTTTCTGTGCTGCATCAGTCTTTCACCTAACATATCAGCCTAAAATTTTCAGGAACTTGTTTTTCAATCTGAATATTGTCCTTTGCCATCAGGTTCATGCCCAGAGTAGAAATTGTACAGAAACACAATACAGCAGCTCGTAGACTTTACATCCGGGGTCACAATGGCAAGATATACCCATACCTAGTGATGAATGATGCCTGTCTGACAGAGTCTCGACGGGAGGAGCGCGTTCTACAACTGCTGAGGCTATTGAACCCCTGCCTAGAGAAAAGAAAGGAGACTACGAAGAGGCACCTATTCTTCACAGGTATCATATTCTGTTCAGTTGCTGTCTTCCTGTGGAAATAGATGCAATGTTGTTGAAAGTGAGCAAGCAGCAAATAACCTGTGTATGTTTTTTATACTTGATAAACTTGCATGTCATTATAAACTGAGGCTATAGTCCATTTTTAAGAGCCCCAGTCAGATCTTAGTACAATTATTGTTTCTTTCTCTAAATTAGGGAATCTACTAACCATTAAACTGACAGCTAGATTATACTATTTAATGCACAACCGTATTGTGTTGTTTGGTTGAATGTAATTATTGTTATTTTTAGACCACAAAGTCTAATTGCTACATAGACATTTCTGAAGCTAGTTGGAAATTAATTGTGTACATGTATTTTCCATGTTTAATTAGAAATTATTTCATTGGAGAACAAGAGCCCCACCTCCTCTCACCTTGTTTATTGTTCCTATAGCTTTGCTATCCTCCTTACCTGGGATTCTTTTTATTCCTGTATTGTTTGATCACTGTTACTGCTGAGTCCCATTACCTTTTGATGGTGTCCTTGCCTTGAGATACAGGCCAAGAAATGAACAACAAATCTTGTCTGGTTTTTAGCTACTCAATGTGCCCTGTCCCTCCTTGAAATCTCATTTCAGCCTTTAACTATGATTGTGAATCATAAGGGATATTGCTTTATGGTTTGGCATTTCAAATAAATTTATTTTAATAAAAGATGAATAACCAAATAAGTGATGTAATAAATAGCAACAGTTTAAAGAAAGACCTATTCTGAAACAAAGGCTTATTTTTAGCAAACATCTTTTGCAATGGAAGGACTTTGCAAAGTGCTTTACAGCCAGTTGAAGTGCTTTAGCAGTATAGTTACTGTTGTAATGTAGGAAATGTAACAGTCAACTTGCAGATAGCAAGGTCCCACAAACGCTGGCATCACCCAGATGATTGCTTTGGTCATGTGGTTCTTACTAGTTGATCACTAACACTTTGCATTTTAGTTGTCGATAAAACAATGTTTGTGGGTATTTGGCATGAACAATGCCAGCTAAAATTGCAACGATGTATCCAACTTGTAATTTCCCCATTTGTTTTATAGTACCACGGGTTGTTGCAGTTTCGCCTCAGATGCGTTTGGTTGAAGACAATCCTTCTTCGCTTTCTCTTGTGGAAATTTACAAACAGCGTTGCGCCAAAAAGGGCATAGAGCATGACAATCCTATATCTCGCTATTATGACAGGCTGGCTACAGTGCAGGCCAGAGGAACCCAAGCAAGTCATCAGGTACCAAATATACGAAAGAAAATATTTTGCTTCTCATTTGAGATGGCTTTATTGAATGTGATGAAGACCTTGGTCAGAGTGGTAGATATTAAGGAACAACTTAAAAGAAGAAAGAGCAGTAGAGGGTGGAGAGGTTTAGGGAGGAAATTCCAGAGTTTAGGCACTATTTAAGCTGAAGCCATTGCTGCTGCTGGTGGGATCAAAATCGTGGATGCCCAAGAGGCTAAAAATGCTAGAAATCTCTCTATCTCTTTTTAAATCTTCAGTTGACTCCCTTCCAGATTTCTTTCAACCCTTTTTTTTGGGAGATTCTTCCAGAGTGTCCTAGATGTATGTCTTTCTATCTTTAATCTCATAGTTGTTTTGGGGATGGGCCATGGGCTTCCATCAAATTGGTTCATGCTTACAGGCAAAATACTGTACTGATTTCCTTTTGTATTCTGCCAAATGAATGACTGGGGACTCTCCCACTGTCACCACTGCTATCACATATATTGGGAGGATCTAATGCCTATTTAGCCACGTTTTGAGCATGCCTGCCACGTGCAACAGGTCCTAATGTGGGACTTGACCTGGAGATTCTGGCCCAAATGTGCACTATCGCTGTGCTGCACAAGACTTCTCTCCACCTACATGGGCTACATCTAATTTGAAAATTCCAGCTTTTCATTCTTGTAGAGGAAATAATTTATCTTTAGCTGTTGTATTAAAATTTTCAATCATCTCGAATACCTCAATCAGATCACCTTGTAATCTCTTGTACTTAATGGAATGCATGACATCTTTCTGCTACCAAGCCTCAATTTAACCCATCGTATGCAAATTTAAGCAAATATAGAGCAAATGGATTAAGGTGCCATTTATATGGGCAACGTAACTACTTAACTGCTTTATCAAATTACTCGCCTGTAAGAATTACAGAAGAGGTGTTCAGAATGACTGTCTTATTGCACAGGTATAAAATCAAGCTGTTAAGTGGCATGCTTAAGATTTGTGTGCTAGATAACATGGAATAACTGTGAGAATGGACCTTGAATATTGGAAAAATAACAATGGAGGGCTTTGAGTTAGCTTACTTCAGATGCCTGTTGAAAATTAATGGTTCAAGGAGCATGATTAATGAGAGGGACCTCGAAGAAGTAAAGGAGCAGAGAGCAGTGATGAGGCTGAGAAAGATGATACGCTGTAATGACATTATCTCAGAAACAAAAGTTATTGAGGGGCTGTTAAAAATCCAGAAATGTTGCCTGTAACAGATACAATTCACTTGTTCAGAAACTGGACGGTGTGAAGTGAACTGATCACTGATCTTGGGTGAAATAAACATTGTCGGCATGCGTCTGCCAAAAGTCTGATAAAATTATATTGATTTTTAAGTGCATAAATTACATGATTCCTGGCATTGTGCAGTAGATTACTGGATTCAAAAATGCCTCTAATTTCCAAGTCACTGTCATGATGCAGCAAATACTGGAAGAGATTTTACTGTTTTTCCTTCATTTGCGTGCTCTCCACTTACAGTATAGTGTTTGCTATCACTCATCACCCCTACTTTATTCTGTCCGTGTATATTCACTTTTCTCATGATTGTCTTCCTCTTCTTTGTTGAAGGAACTAGTGAGTATTGTTTCATTGTTGCATATGATTTCACTCCTCTCGGGGTCCTCTGCTTTGGTTCTTTCATCAAAACGACATTAACTCTGACACGAGAAATGGTTCAAGCTGCTATTGGCTTGGGTATATATCCCTGCTGTTTGAGGAACACACCCACAACAAATTGGACAGATGGTGTTATGGTTCTGTTCTAAAATCAAGATGGCCACACTTGTGCGATCTGTTCCTTAGTGCTGTGAAAATCTGGCACCGCTGTAGTCAAAAGTGTCTCCTTTCTGTTCACCCCTTTGCCAGGACATACAAATGTCATGCCAAAGAAAGGAGGAGGATCTTTCTTTTATTTAGCTCCTTTCACGAAGAAGGTTAGGAGGAGGCTCATATGGTGCATAAGCCCCACTGTTCTGTAAAATGGCCTGTTTCTGTGTGGTGGATTTGATGTAATGAACAAATGCATGGGGTAGTTTCTTGATTTGGACCTGAACAGATTACATTTCCTTCTTGTAAAATACTTCAATTTTATTTTTAAAGTTTAAAGTATTTTGTAGGAAGCCTTTTTTAAAATTTAAGCTTTGTGAACATGCCTCTTAAAATAAATGTACATTTTACATCACCCTGTGTAGAGATCGGCACTAACTACATTGACTAAAATGTGGAAATGTGTCCCAGTGTGCACTCTGTGGCCTTTGGGAGGAATGGAAATTTGTGTTCTAGGGAGAGGCAGTGGGTGGAGGGGGCATGGGAAGAGCTGATGACAGTAGAAGAAAAATAATCAGAGTGCCAAGGAATAAACCTGAGCTTACACTTCAGTGAAAATGCAATGTAGTATTCTTGTTCAAATAAACAGTTTACTCAAAAGGTCAAATAATATGTTTGTTTTGAGGCCTCAGAACAAGCTAAATATTTTTTTAAAAGATGAACATGTTATTCAATGAAGTCTGAATCTTGGAATTTACAGTGTGTTCTGCAGTTTGCTGTGTATGCGTTTTAGTCTCTGAAGTGGTGGGTCATTTTCGTCCTAAATTATATATAAAATGAGCAGACTGCCTGCACCAAAGTGTGTACGGCAAGTTCTTTCTAGATGAGAGTAAAGGAGATCAGAACAAAAGTTAACAAAAGTTATTTTTACTCTCCTATTAGTGGAAGTCTATTTTTGTTTTAAGGCTGATCAGCATTGTTTACAATTACCACATTTAAAACAACATTTGGACAGAAACATGAATCAGAAAGGTTTAGAGGAATGTGGACCAAATGCAGACAAATCGGGCCAGTTTAATTTAGGATAGCTGGTCGGCATGGATGGGTTGGGCCGAAGGGTCTGTTCCTTGCTGCATTGACTATAAGTGGCATTTCATCATACTTCGCATAGTCTGACAGTTACTGCAAATCAAATTCTATTAAAGCAAGATCAAAATAAGTAACTAAAGTAACCACTAAACTCAAATGAAATGTGTAGAATATTTGTATAAATATAATTCCTAAAGTTAATGTAGGTTTTGCTATGTTATAAGTAAGCTGTTGAAGATTTGACAAAGGAAATTATCTTAATATGAAGTAGGAAGAAGATTTTGTTGTAAGTTTAAATAAAATTGTTTGTGAATAAGATTTTTTTTGCAGCACTCAGTACTTGGGGCACTATTATTTATATTCTGGTTTACAGCAAGAGAGCAGAATTTATCATGTTTGATATTTTGCATATTCTTCTGATTAAAGGTGAAAATTGAGAGTGGGGCACATATAGGATTATCTGTTGAAAGCAAAAACCTTGAGACGATTACAGCTTAATTTTATGTTGAGATTGCCAATCCCTATTTAGTAGTCCACCACTGGTGACTATACCTTCAACTGCCTGAACTCTAAACTCTGAAATTCTCTCCCTTAATCTCTCAAACTCGGTCTGATATTTTAAATCCCTCCTTGAACCCAAGCATTTGGCCTCCTGTCCTGTTATCCATTACTTTGATTTCAAATTTCATTTTAATAACACTCTGAGGCACTGTGGGCAGTTTAACTACTTAAAAAGTGCTGTATTAATGCAAGTTGTTGGATACTAATCATATACAGTTGGCTAGTTAATGTTATAGTGAATGAAACCGGGTCTTACTTGCATGATCTTCACCTGTGTAAACAGCGAATAAACACTGGATATTAGATAATAATGCTAGTTATTCTGCTTGCATTACCTGCTGTTATTTTCTTCAAAACTAAAGCTTTTATCAGGATTACTTTTGGAACTATTTTAAAGTACAGAACACACAAAAATATTTTCTATTGTAGACGCAGTTGTGTTGACTGTCTATTCCACTTCATCTGAATGTAGATTATATGTCTCTGCTAACGTTTTGTCAAAAAAGTGATGCTATCCATCTTGGTTTCAAGTCAAGTCTGTTCGTGGTTCTAAGTTGCAGAGGGCCTGGAACCCTCTATTTGCTGTTTACCTGTCCATTTTAGCCTGAGTCAAGAATCTGTAATTTTAATGCTGATTTATTTTTTAAAAAATAACTTTACACTCATCACAAAAAGATTGTTGCTCAAAGCACCTAAAGTCGTTGTACCATTTGATGCTACACAGAGATATGAAGGCAGCTGTGACCCGTGACTGACATCCTGCTCACTTAGTGTGTCGAGTACCATAGAAATAAAGCTGAAGGATAGAAATATTCACTAATTTGATTGTAACCTTGAAGGACCCTTCCACTGAATATCAGTGATCCTTTCTAGCCTTTGTTTAACAGGTTACCATTGGCGATAACCTTTTTCAACAGTCTTGTCTCAAAATCCAAGAGAAAATTCTTTTTCTCATTTCTCCAGGAATTATGCCTTCTCAACAACTTGCTAAAAACAAAATTCAATTAGATATTAAATGTCAAGAATTACGAACATTGATGAATGAAATGTTAACACAATTCTATGTGTATAAAGTACAGTAGATAAATTGAGGTACTCCAGGCAATAATGTGTTCACTTGGTGTTCCCATCCCCACTCCCCGTTAACGCACACAGAAAACTGTAGCCTATGAGCTTTAGTTATTTTCCTGAGCTAACCTTTCTTCAGTGCTGCATTGTACATACGGGGTTTGTGAAAGCTTGATTTGTTTCATGTTCATTCAATATATTCATGCAAAATAGCTATTCATCTTACAGTATGCTGGGCATAAGCTCATCATAGTCTTGCTTAGTCTGTTATCTGCATCACAAGCTACTCCAAGCTTTCGTGACTTTACAATAAATTAGGCACCAAGTTGACAATGTATTTGGAGTCTTAGCAGGAAAATTTTCAATGAATGTGATTTACCTTATTAAACTGTCATATAACCAGGTGTGAAGGGATAAATTGATTTGCCCTTCTTATGTTCATTTTAGAGAATAAGAAACTAGGAGCAGGTTTGGAAGATTTGGCCCTTTTGAGCCTGCTTGCCATTCACTATGATCATGGCAGAGGGTGTATCTCAATGCCATATTTTCACTTCCTCGTCATATCCCTTGATGCCTTTAAAATCCGAAAATGCATCAATCTCTTTCTTGATTATTTAATGACTTATTCTCCACAACCCTCCTGTAGTAGAGAGTTCCACAGATTCACTACATTTTAACTGTAGAAATTTTTCCTAATCTCGGTCCTAAATGCTCTGCCTGAGACTATTTCCCCAGGTTCCAGACTCCGCAGCTAGGGAAACCATCCTCCCTACATCTGGTCTGTCCAGCCCTCTTAGAATTTAATGTTTCAATCATATACCCTCTTATTCGTCGAAACTCTGGTGAATACAGACCTAGTCTGTAACAAAAAAGTCTAACCAATCTCTCTTCATAGCACAGTCCTGCCATATCCGTTATCAGCCTAGTGAACTTCCTCTTCACTCCCATGATGGCAAAGTATATCTTTTCCTGGACCAAAATTGCATACAACCTCCAAATGTGGTCTCATCAAGGCCCAATATAATTGCAGTAAGACATCCTTATTTCTGAACTCCAATCCTCTTGCAATGCCGGCCAATAAACCATTTGTGTAGGAGGATCCCCAGATCCCTTTAGCACACAACCAAACCTCACTCCAATTAAATTGTAGTTAACTAGTTCACCAAAAACAAGAAAAAATGAATTACAAGATTTTCTTGAGTAAAAGAGGAATTGTTATTGCTAATCTGAAGAAAAAAATAATAAAGATGCAATAACAAACACAAACACGGGTATGAAGTTAAAAAGGGATTATGTCCAGTATGAAAAGGAAGCTGAAAGAATGTGAGTTTAAGATTTTTAGCATGTTCTTGAGGTGTTAGGTGTTAACTTGAAACAATGGTTATTTAAGGATGTCCTAGAACAACAGCAGCTGTGAATATCGCAGATGATTTTTGAGTTGTTTGTGTTGAGTGTTTCTCCAATTCACTTTGTCACCAGGCTTCATATTTCCCAAGTGACCAGAGGAGAGAACCTTCTCCAATGCCAGTCACAAATCCATCTCCTCTGGTCTGTCAAACGCTGCTCCCTGAAACACATACAGTTGTAAGCTGTACTGTCTGAGTTCCTTGTTTTCAAATTGGACAGTTGCAGGAGCTATCTTTCATCTTATAATGACTTATACAACTGTAAATCAAGATAGGAGATGCAAGTTTCTTCATGTGTGACTGGCTTTGGTCTCAATTGACAAAAATATTAATTTCAGTTCAGACTGGTTCTTGCTTATTATTGTTTTCTTGAAGTCAGTCTCCATCAGTTGTCGGGTTATTACTCTGGCCATTTTAGAGTCTTTTTTTCTTCTTTTGTGGAACCATTTCAGTTCATGAAAATCTCAGGTATTAAAATTACCTGACGGAAGTTGAACATTAATAATTTATATCTTTGAAATATTCTGATAGTGCAGATCTTCATTTAATACCCAAGTATTTCCAATTAATCTCGTATCGTAGCAACCCTTCCGTTGTTCCTGATCTGCCTCATTCACTTCGCTTCATGTTGCCCTTCCTTTCCTCTCTTTGATTCCCTCTGCTCTCCTTTTGTCTCACATTCCCCTGTAAATGCTTGTTTGTTTCTTAGAACTATTTTGTTTTCTTTCACTACACTTAAAAATGCTTGGCAAAATGTGATGTAATTGCCAATGGTGAGTTTGGTGTTGGGAGATTTGGTGCATTTAATCAAGAAGGCATTTGTGCCTCTATCCTGGTTAAATCCGTGGCAGGGAGGCCCATAGATGGACTTCACTCCCAATCCCAATGGCAGTTGAGATCTTTCAGTGCAGAATTAATGCTGTCTTAAAGATCTGCATGCTGTGCATGCTCCCAGGTTAGGGGTCCTTTATTCACGAAGGACACCCTGTGCTATATCAAGTGACCCAGTATTGGAAAAGAGGGGTGGTGGCATCTGAGAACATGCCTTTGTCCTTGTTATTGATTCCCTTCCATCACTTACCTGTGGCCTGAGTACCTCAGCGACCCTAAGCCTTGGGTGGGTAAAGAGCCAGCAGAGGCCACCGCCTCCCCAGTGACACTGCCATGCAATGCAGAGATTTTGGCCTTTCGCTGTCAACTCTTGGCCTGTTGGATTTCAGTCCACATGGTACTTGATCCGAGGACTGCCCTGTTAATTGCCTAGTTGGCCTTCCTAAAAACAGGTAATGGGGAGCTTTCATTGGTTCTGCTATGGCGATTGAGATCACTGTTGTCTCATTAAATATCACCCCCTGTACCCATCTTGTTATCGTTAGGCTTAATTTCTTTAAGCAATGTAACATTGACTTATTTTGCAATTATTTTACATGTGACAAGGATTCTGGTACTAGTTTGGATTTCCTAACTGTTTTCAGGTTCTGCGTGACATTCTGAAAGAGGTACAGGGAAACATGGTGCCACGGAGCATGTTGAAGGAATGGGCTTTGCACACTTTTCCTAATGCCACTGACTACTGGACTTTTCGAAAAATGTTTACCATTCAGCTTGCATTGATTGGTTTTGCTGAATTTGTACTTCACCTGAACCGTCTTAACCCTGAGATGCTTCAAATTGCACAGGTACGTGCAAAGTCTCATTATGGTTATTAATGACAGACTGCAGTAAGTTTTGTAGAAATGCTGCAATTTCTGCTGAATTTTTAACGTGATTGGTGTACTTGCTGAGCATTTTGCTGTTTAGTGCCCACTGCCAGTCTGTGCAAGATGCCTGAAGCAGGTGCAGCTAATGGTCATTGAGGAACTGAAGACTATTTATGAAACTAATTTGAAGCAATTTAAACAAAATGATAATTGCACTGAGTTAAAATGAATCCAGTGAGAGCAATGAACTGTTTTGTGTACTGAGGTTTCTGCCCAGCTATATTTTATAGCTCTTGGTTTCGTCTCATGCCAAAACAATTACTGCTGGGACTTTTTTTTAAGCCAGCGAAATCTAATTTCTTCTGGATACATTTTACAATGATTAAAGCTGAACTTATAACCTTTCAGTATAAAAATTACATTGTACATTTTTAAAAAACAGATTGAAGTGTGAATTTGCATTTTGATGTTATTTCCAGTTCCCATTTTCATTAAGTATCTCTTTTATAAAACATTTATGTGGTGTTCACAGGATAGGATCCAACTGGTCTCTGCCAATGTGTTTGATCTGTATGATCCTGTTCTAACCCTAAGTAGCATCTTCTCCCCATCTTTCCCTTAAATACATCCATTCTATTTGCCCCAACTAACTACTCTGTGGTAACAGATTCTTCGTTCTAACCACTGTTACAATTAATCTGTCTGTGAGATTCCCCAGTTTATTATGATTCCAGACAGGACTTGTCAAACTACTAAGCTCGGATGTGATGGAAGTGAACTGGCTCCCCTTGGTTATTTGCACACCCCTCAGTTGGTCACAACAAGGTTACCTTTAAAACAATCCCTCCTTTTCTGGATAGCTTTCCCGCAGACCAAAATGAATTTGTGTTTTAAAAGGAGCCAATTTAATCAGGCTTTCTCAAATAAACAAAACAACTGAGTATAAATACAGGAAGAAATAGTAACTCAACTTTCATATATAGATGAGAATTAAGGCGAGTTCAAAATGATAAGCATTTCTTTTAGAAACACATTAGTCTCTGCATTGTTTGTGAAGAGCAGATACAGCCATTGAGGTAGATGTTACCAATAGTTTTGGTGTTGGTAGTTGAACAGTCAGTTTTTAGATTCTTGGCTTTGAGGGTTGATTGAAACTTTTCTGTTCTGATTTTTTTTGGCAGTGGCTAAGTAGCAGCATTCAAAGAGTGAGATTCAGTCTTATCCATTTCCTTTACTTGTAGCATAGGGATGTTTAAATGGCTTTTCTTAGACCCTCGCAGTGCACAAGGATATCAGACCACTTCCTCACACATTGGAGTTGAAGCTCACTTTTAATGTCTGTCCCTGCATATTCTTGAAAGGGGGAGAAATGCAAAAATGTCTCTTGCTGAGACTGCTGTCTTTTTATACCATCTTGTCCAAAGCCTGAGTTACTCCCAAGAGATTACAAGTTCTGTTTCTAGTGTATTGTTCTTGGTTTTGAAGCTTATTCAACACCTCATTTGGAATCTCTGAATTTACATCTGCAGTCTACTTTTGGCTTAATGTCCTTTTTGCTTATGAAAAGAGCACATTGTAATTAAACTTTAAATGTGGCCATAGCTTATTTGAGGTTATGGTCCATGGTCATGACATTACTCCCTGTATAAAAAATGTTCTTATGAATTCCCAATTTGACTTATTAGTGATTGTGAAATGGCTCCTAGTTTGGTCTTACCCACTGTTGAAAACTTCTTCACCAAGTTTATTTTATGAAGATATTTCATGATCTTAAAGAGAACCAAAGGATCTGTTTCCATGCTATATGACCTCTGTCAGATTGTATTTCAGTCTAGAAAACAAATTCCCTAGCCTGGCCTCTTTCCTGATTAGTATAAACTCTCAATTCTGGATTCATTTTAGTAACTTTTTCTGTACCTTTTCCAGTGTTTCTATATCCTTGTAATAACAGGGATCAAGACTGTGTCCAGGACTACATGTATAAACCAAACAAGTTCAACAAAACTTCTCAGCTTTTCAACTGTATCCCTTAGGAAATGAGCTGCAGTGCTTGGTTTTTTTTTTAATGGACCTAATAACCACATTCATTATTTGTGTGTCTGGACTTCCAGATCCTTCTGTTCCTCAATCTTGTTTAGAGATTTACTTTTAAAGAAGTATGTGGCTGCCTGATTTTGCCTTCTCTTGTTAGTTTACGTTGAAATTAATTTGACAATTATGTGCCCCTTTTGCAAGTTCATTAATGCCTGCCTTGTCTATTGTTGTAGTTCTCCTCTGTACTAACTTTCGCCTCCTCCCTGCCCAAAGTTGGAATCATCTGCAAATGTTGTAACTATGCTTCCTATTCCTTTGTCCAAATTGATAAACTAAGTAGTGTAACAGCAGCCTGAGTAACCTTCAACCAATGCTTTCTGTTTTCAGGTTTGAAATTGGTTTGCAATCTCCATTCTGCTATTTGCCCTCTGATTCCACAAATACTGAACTTGGTCATGAGTCTACTGTGCAATGCCTAATCAAAGGCTTTCTGAAAATTCAAATATATTACAATATGCAGATTACCCTTGTCTGTCCTTTGTTACTCCACATAATTCAGTAATGTGGTAAAGAATGATTTTTCCCTTCCGTGTTGACTATCTTTCTCTCAAATAATGAGGGGTCCATTATGCACAATGCAGGCATTACTGATTGAGAACTTCTTAATTTTTCTTTGAATATCAGAATTGCCAGATCATTGTTAAATGGTATGCCAAGAAGATAGCTCTCCTATCTTTGTAACATAAATGTCAAAAATCTCCAGGTTTGTAAAAAATAAATGATTGGAACCGATGAAATATCCTATCAATCTTCAGAGGCATTATTTCTGATGTGCACGATCAAATTATACAGTTTCTTAATGGACCCTGCTGTACAGATTGAAGTCTGTAATGAATTTTTCTGCCAAAATGTTCTTGGAGATACTTAAATTCTTCTGATAATCAGCAATATTGAAAAACTTGCATTTACATAGCCCCTGGGGATATCCCCAAATATTTTCTCAAACCAGTAGAATTTAACACTTGAACATTGGAACAGCCTTATCTGCCATTCATTTAGAGCATTCCTACTTTAAACCCATGCAGCCTCATCATCCTTGACAACTTTACCTTGTAAAAATTCACTGAACTCAATCTTGAAAGTTCCAGTTGTGCCTCAGCATCCACAGTCTTAATAGGAAATAGTGTTCCCGATTGCCATTATTCTTACGTGAAGGAGAAATGCTTCCTGATTTCCCACCTAAATAGCCTAGATTCGGTGTTAAGATTATGTCCCCTAAATGTTGATTTCCCTTCTAGAGGAGTTAACTTTTCTGTGTTATCCTATTGAATCACTTAACTTCGATTAGATCAGTAACTGTTTACCATGAGGCAAAATTCTAAATTGACATAATCTTGAATGAAATAAATTCTCCTGTATTTATTATCCACTAAGTTGAGTGACTGGGGTGGAGGCAAGTTTATTTAACATTCTTAAAAGCTTTCATTATCAGTTGGTATTTAGACCCAGGAAGTAAAAGGAATGTCTTCTGAGACAGCATTGCATTTGAGGAACAGCCCTTTCTGATTGTGTTATGAGCTGCGCATCCTAAGATTATATTGTCAAAGTGATTGACTCCTTGAGTGAAAAAGATAAAATACTGTCACCTTTTGATCCTTGTGTATTTTTTCCTTTTAGTGACTTGAATATTTGTTTATAGCTGTACGTTCCTATGGGTAATGTTTGTTTACTGAATGGGATCCTGTTGTTTGACCTTGTGTTCCAGGACACCGGAAAGCTCAATGTGGCGTACTTCAGGTTTGATATCAATGACAATTCGGGCGATCTAGATGCCAATCGCCCTGTGCCGTTCAGACTCACTCCAAACATCTCGGAGTTTCTCACCACCATCGGAGTGTCCGGCCCACTCACTGCCTCGATGATAGCTGTTGCCAGATGTTTTGCACAGCCAAACTTTAAAGTAAGGCAGTAGTGTACCTTGTCCGTACGATCTGACATTCCATGTTACTTGTATGTCAATATGGTTAGGACTGCTCCTGAAGCTTCCTGACAGGATAAAAGATCTTAGAATCCCTACAGTGGGGAAGCAAGCCGTTTGGCCTATCGAGTCCGCACCAACCCTCCAAAGAGCATCCGACCCAAACTCGCTCCCTACCCTATCCCTGAAGCCCTGCATTCCCTACGGCTAAACCACCTAACCTGCTCATCTTTGGACCGTGGGAGGAAACTGGAGTACCCAAGGGGAAACCCTTGTAGATAAAGGGAGAATGTGCAAACTCCGCACAGACAGTTACCGGTGGGTAGAATCAAACCCGGGTCCTTGGCACTGTGAGGAAGCAGTCTAACCAGAGCCACCGTGCCACCCTTTAATGTGATGGTGGATGCTCACTGTTCTTTGAGTGACAAGACTTGAGTAATTTAAATTCCTTTGTGCAATCTGGCCAATTGCCAGAGCTGGGAATGTAATGATAAAAGATTCTAGTTTGGACAGCCAGTGCCTCCTTAGAAGCTAAGAGCAGCAATCACAGTTTAAAACAACTGGAATACACTGCGCTGAAGTCTTCAGCGGAAATGAATTCTCTGTTGTGATATAAATGTGGCTGCAAATTCTCTCTACATACCTTGAAATTGTGTGCAGTCAACACTGCTCACAGCAAAATTTATTTTATGCATTCACATATTAAGCATCTAAAAAATGGTCAGGGACTTTTTTCTACAGTTTCCAGTACTACTCGCTGTAGTATTCATGTGAATCCATGCCTCCCCAACTTTCAGGACATTTCCATTGAGTTTTGACTGATCTTGTCAGACCTTCATTTACAATCCTTCTATTGAACCCCTGACTATTTGCAGTTGCATTTTTTAACAAAATGTTTTGCTGTCATCAAGAAAGGTAGAAACCTGTATTTCTGCAGTGTCATTCACAACCTCAGAATGCCCCAAAGCATTTCACAGACATGGAGGTACTTTTTGAAGTGTAGTCACTTGGTAATGAAGGAAACTCTGCAACCAATTTGCGCACTGCAAGCTCTCATAAACAGCAATCTGATGACCAAAATAATCTATTTCACTGTTGAGGAATCAATATTAACTAGGACAGTGGGGAGTAATCCCCATTCTTCTTCAGAATAGTGCCAGTAGAATTGTTTTATATTCTCCTGAGAGGGCAGAGTCTCATCAGAAGGATAGCACTCTCAACAATACAGCACTTACAGGACTGCAGTAGAGCCCTAGCCTAGATTACATGCTCAGACTCTAGACCGGGATGTAAACTTCCAAGACAACAAGGTGCAGGGCTGGATGAACACAGCAGGCCAAGCAGCATCATAGGAGCAGAGAGGCTGACGTTTCAGGCCTCGACCCTTCATCAGAAGGGGAAAGTGATAAGTGCTAAGGCAAGGCTACTGTTCATAGACAAAATACTAGTAAAATTGGCATTTGTAAACATTCCAGAGACCACTCTTACATTTCCTTGCCATAGTAGGTTAAGTGGCTTTTGAATTGGTATTGCTTGGGATATAATCAGCCCTGGCTCTCAGTTTTTATATATTTAACATACTTTTGCTATCTCTCAGTGATGAACTACATTGAATTTCTAACCAGAATAAAATAAGACTGTATGGTTGCCAGGGCTGTCAAGCGTCTAACTACTTTGATTAGCTCACTGTCCCATTTAATCTTCTCCTCATTGAAGAATTTTGCTTTGATGGTCGGGTTAACATGCTGTCATAAACAATTCAAATGTGATGTCTTACGATTCCAGTACTGCATGATGTTCCTACACCAAGGAAAAGACATACACACCACCACTTAGAGCTGCCTGCCTTGACCAAAGGGTTTCTTGTTTGCCACTTACTGTCCTGTCCCTCTCTTTGCTTCACTCCCTAAAGAAGAATTTCACAAATGGCTAGATTTTCTGGTTAATTAATCATATTCCTCTTTTGCTTGCTTTTGCCTGCGAGCGAGCCAACCTCCGATTGATGTCTAAATTCTTTTATTTGTTTCTGGGGTGTGGGTGTTGCTGGATAGGCCAGAAAGAGTTGCCCATCCCTAACTGCCCTTGAAGATCATGATGAATCATTGTCTCGAAGCATTGCACTCCCTCACGTGGAGATACACAGTGTTGTTTCAGAGCAATTCCAGGATTTTGACCGGGTGGGTATAGTTCCAAGCAGATTGAGTAGATGTTCGGATCACAGGCTAAATGAAGCACTGTTTAAATTAAAAAAAAACCCACTTTTTGCTTAAACTGTTAACAGCTCTAAAATATTTCAAAGCCACACAGTAAATGGGTGTTTCTGACTAGTTTGCTGTCCTTCATTTTAACTTATACTCTCAGGCTATTTTCAAAAGCACCATAATGATTTATTTCTGCAGTTCAAGCATTACAGAATGAAAGGAGGCCATTCAGCCTGTTGTATATATGCTAGTTCTTTGAAAGATCCTTCTCTATTAGACCCAAGCCCCATTCTTTCCCCATGGCTGTGTAAATCTTTCCTTTTCAAAGTTATGATTGATCCTGCTTCCACCATTCATTCTTTAAAGCAGTGTATTCCAGATCATTACACATGGTGTTTTTTAATTTTCTTAACAATGCAGTAGCTAACTTGCTTAATACATGTTTTGGAAAAAAGATCGCTCCCATTATCCAGTTAGCTTTGTCATTAGAATGCTATTTTGGCGTGCGTTCTTTCTTTCACGTCCAATTGTTTAAAGAATATGACTTCTTACACGTGCTGTGTTAGGGACAGGTCTCCTGGTTATTCTGTTAATTATAGATAATTATCCAATTTTCTTCTCCATGCAGGTTGATGGCATTCTGAAAGCTGTGCTGCGTGATGAAATAATTGCCTGGCACAAGAAGACTCAGGAGGACACGTCCTCCCCGCTCTCGGCAGCCGGCCAGCCTGAGAACATGGACAGCCAGCAGCTGGTCTCACTGGTTCAGAAGGCAGTGACTGCTATTGTGACCAGGCTGCACAGCCTGGCCCAGTTTGAGGGTGGAGAGAGCAAAGTGAACACACTCGTTGCAGCTGCCAACAGCCTTGACAACCTCTGTCGCATGGACCCTGCCTGGCACCCCTGGCTGTAAGGCCTGAAATTTAATCGCCAGTGAGGCAGCAAGAGGAGGGGTAAATGGTTCTTTCATCAAGACTCATTTTGTCGCAATGTGAAGTTAATAGACACCTGAGATTCTGAATTATTTTCTTGTTGAAGATCACCTCAATCTAGTTTTCCAATGTTTTTTGTTTATTTTGCATTGCTGTGTTAGATCATGTGTGATTCTACTCTTTAAATGGAACCATTGACTAGAATTTGTAGAGGGAGAGAGATTAAATAATACCTCTATCTTTTTGACACATTGATAGGTGTAAATACTTTAGCAGGATTTACTAACTGCTGACTTTGTTGGAGAGGTTACTTTCAAGAAGCACAATACTAAGTGTGCAATGTGTGCTCAGTATCTCATGCTAGGAGTGGGCTAAGTTCCTCACTGCTAAAGAAAAGTTCTGTCAGTGATTGGAGAAGATTGTGGCTTCTACGAAAAGTGTTACTTAAAAGATGTCTAGAACAGCAAATACTTCAGAGAAGAGGAGGAGAGGTGTGGGTGGATGAGAAACAGCTGAAAGTTGAGCACTGCATTGGTGAAGTTAAAGGCTTTACCATCAAGTGCCGAATTAGAAACTGCACATGTCCCTGAAGTAGGAGCATTGAGGCAGGGAATAATGCATGAGTGAGCTGATGCCAGTTTGCTCAATGGTTTTAATTATGCACTACTCAGCATTGTTTGGCAAACACTGCAGAGTTCTGGCAGGGTTTTTTAAACAAAAATGTCACCACAAGGTATTTCTGTGTAAACCAATGCCTTTTGTAACTGTTTCCAGGAGGGTTGGGTTGAGGACTGAGGTTTCTGTTGCTATAGTAACAAACATGTACTGCACTTTTGTAAGATTTGGGAATTGTTGCAGTTTTCTGCGTAAAGTGTTTTTACAGTTTTGTACCATGCTCAAGAGTCGTCAGTTCAAATTAGGAGGAATCCATTTCTTTGCATGATAGATCAAAGCTGGCACTCAATTCAAAGAGTAGAGTTTGGCTGAGTGTATAATGTACCTACTCTTATTTCTTTTCTATGTGCTGTTTTGGAAAGGGAGTCATAACTGAAATGTACCAAGTAATTCATTCTGGGCCCTGTGTAAAATATTAACGAGTTTCAATTAATGCTGAAAGCTTATTGATGGGATGTAAGAATGAATTTTGGTATTTGTCACAGTCCCTTTACACTGTTTAAAATGCCTCCACAAAGGTTTTGTGGACTTTTCAATGGGTATTGTAGACAGCACTACATCTTTTCAAAACAAATATGTTTTTACTGATACAAGTCAGTTTTAGTCCTGTCCATCTTACAGCGAGCTCAATACGACAAGTTTCTTTGTAAGTTATGAACTTTTTTATTTTTACATTTTTAAACAAAGAGTCTTATGCCGACAATTATTTTGAGACTGTTCCATCATGTTGAAAAGAATTACATTTTGTACAGAACCTATTTGCAAAGAATAAATCAATTTATAATGAAAACTATTTTCTTTCTGGTGTTTGCTTCTGTTCCAAGGTTTCACTGATTATCAGACATGGTTTCTCATAAGTAGTGAAGTGAATTTTGCAGACGTGCTCTGTTCTGCCTCAAGTGTACAACATTTAATAATTCTTCCCGGCACATTGTTGTTGAATTTTGCCTGGATACAGAACTGGCTTAGTCAAAGGAGGCAGAGGGTAGCAGTGGAAGAATGCCTTTCGGAATGGAGGGCTGTGACTGGTGGTGTTCCACAGGGATCAGTGCTGGGACCTCTGTTCGTGATCTACATAAATGATTTGGAGGAAAACATAGCTGGTCTAATTAGTAAGATTGCAGATGATATAAAGATTGGTGGAGTTGTGGATAGTGAGGAGGACTGTCAGAAGATACAACAGGGTATAGATCATTTGGAGGCATGGGCAGAAAAATAGCAGATGGAGTTTAATCCAGACAAATGTGAGGTGATGCATTTTGGAAGGTCAAGCACAGGTGAAAATTATGCAGTGAATGGCAAAACCCTTAGGAGTATTGATATGCAGAGGGATCTGGGTGTGCAGGTCCACAAATCACAAAGCTGGCAGCGCAGGTAGATAAGGTAGTAAAAAAGGCTTATGGCATGCTCGCCTTCATTGGAAGGGACATTGAGTATAAGGATAGACCAGTTATGCAGTTATGCTGCAGATTTATAGAACTTTAGTCAGGCCACACTTAGAATATTGCATACAGTCCTGGTCACCACACTACCAGAAGGATGTGCATGCTTTGGAGACGGTACAGAAAGGGTTTACCAGGATGTTGGCTGGTATGGGGGATTTTAGCTTTAAAAAAATTTGGAAAGACTGAGTTTGTTTTCACTGGAACGGAGGAAGTTGAGGGTCGACTTGATAGAAGTTTATAAGATTGTGAATGGCATGGGTAGTGGAAAGTATGAGGCTTTTCCCCAGGGTGGAGGGGTCAATTACTAGGGGACACAGATTCGAGGTGTGAGGGGGAGGTGTTTAAAAGATATGTGTGAGGCAAGTTTTTCACAGTGGTGAGTGCCTGGTGGTGGAAGCAGACACAATAGCAGCGTTCAAGAAGCACCTGGACAAACACATGGAATAGGAAAGGAATAGAGGGATATGGATCCTGTAAGTGAAGACAGCTTTTAGAATAGAAGGGCAAAATATGGTGTAGGCTTGGAGGGCCGAAGGACCTATTTCTGTGCTGTATTGTTCTTTATTTATAGCTTGTGCAGTGTTTTTGAACAATGAGGCTATTTATTAATGTAAATTCTGCCATAGCTCACATCTTCATTATGATTGAGTCTTGATAACATTTCATTGCCTCTTGAATATCGGGACAAGTAGCAATAATTTTTTTAAAAATGAATGTGACCAGTTGGGGAGAGTGGTGAAGAGTGTGTATGTAATAATTGCAAGTTGTTAAATGAGAGTGCACTTTATATATTTTTGCATGTTTTCATAATTTTCAGTCACCAAAATGATGTTTCTTTCCATTACAATAACTTAGAGGGATAGTGCCTTCCTCAATCTCTGCTCATCCCAAAGCTCTTTATGCCTAATCACGCAATTTGAATGCATCCACTCTTGTAACATGTAGGAATTGCAGCATGCTTCTACAAACAATCATGAGCTGATGACGAAGTTCTTGTTTTGAAATGTCAGTTGAGAAATAAAAATTGATCAGGACATTGGGGTGAGCTATCCTACTTCAGAATGATCCTATGGGAGCTTTTATGTGCACCTGAGAGGACAGATGACCCTTTAATGTCTCATTTGAAAAATGGCATCTCTGACAATGCAGCATTCCTTCAGTACGGCACTGGAAGTATCAGCCTGGATGTCATGGTCAAAATCAATGTTCCCTCTAAGCTGCACAGCTGCTTGGAAATTTCATGCAGCTGACACACTGGCTTCCACTTGTGGAAGCTGCTGCTGTGCATGGACATCTAAGGTCCACACAGCTGAAAAAAGAATTAGTGGAATGTTCGTCAAGATTCCGGAGTGGGATTTGAACCTTATTCAGAAATAAGCCACCAGTTGACTGTTGAATTGTTAAATCACTTCTTGCATATTGTGCTGTTGATACTACAATAAAGTAATTACATTCAACCAATCTGCATTAAATTGTCATGAGTATCACTCTTACGTATTGCAAGCTGTCTCCATTTCGAAATTCATTTCGTGGTTTTATTACTTCAAAACAGGTCATCAGGAATGGCCCTAGATTTTACCCCACGTGGCTCCTGTATCATGATGGGGAAGATATATGTTATATTGGACTCCTCAATGATGCCCTTTGGTGTTTCAGTGTATCAGTAACTTGCTGTATCCAGCTGAGTTCTGAAGGATGAGCATTGGACAGTTAGTGTTAGGCATTCCATCTGTGAAACTGCCCCAGCATAAGGGAGAAACTTCAGGAGACAACTGTATGCTAGGGGAGGCAAACATTTCTTATCACGTGTTTTAATCCTTTCACTTTGTAAAGCATTTGCCCAGCTGTGGAAAGAGGAGATCGCAAGTACTAAAAATATTTGTATCTATACTGTGATGCCTGGCGATTTGCTTGCCATTGGGCTTAATCTTGTTCTTCTGTCAAATGTAGCTGGCATGCTGAATATGTTGATCTTTTGTCTGAAAAATCATCAAACTAAACTTAAGTTAATTACAGATGATACTGCTCTTAACAATCAGACCTTGACTGATTCTGGCAGTCAACATTAAATTATTGAATAGCACATAACACCAGGACGTCACATGTTCAATTAAATATGCACTAGCTCTTTCAAAAAGCAATCCAGACATCTCACTCCCCCCATTCATTTGCCATATCTCCTTCAGACCTTTATCCAATTAAATTTAAAGGCTAGTATTTAATTTATATACTTTGGCCTATAAGGCAGTGCATTCCACATGCTAATCAATTGTTACGTAGAAAGAAAACCTTGGTTTGTGTGTTGAATACAAATTTACATCTTGTTTGCATCTTTTGCCTCAGCTTTGCTGATGTTCCATTCTTGAGCATATTCAAACATCTAGGGTAGAGTTCCAAAGATTCACAAGTCAAAGTGAACAAGTTGCTTTTCATCTCAGACCTAAATGATCAGCCCTTTTTCTGTGATTGTGTTCCGCATTCTAAGTTCCTCAGATGGGGAAACAAGCCCAGAGTGTCTATGCCGTCAAGCCGCTTCAGAATCTTGTACTTTTCAATGACGTCACCTCTCATTCATCTAAACTGTAGCTTGATTTGACTATTAGCAGGCAGAGAAACTTGGCAAGAATATTGCCAGGGTTTGAAAAAAGCAGCTAGGAGGAAATTGGATAAACCAGGGTTATTTCCCTGACTCAAGCTGTACAAAAGAAAGGGGCATGAACATTGGAAGACCTGTTACCCCTAGCACAAAGGTTATTTATTGGGAGCCACAGATTTAAAGTGATTAGAGAGGCCGTTAATAAAAAGTTTCACCCTGACAGTTATGTCTGGAATTTGCTGCCTAATTTGATGGTTAATGGCTCTCAGCGTAGAACAATCTCATCCCTGAAGCCATATCTAGTGAGCCATTTCTTTATTGTCTCTAGTGTAAGAATATTCTTCCTTAAATTGTAGCAATCGTACCTTATTCTTGTGCTCTAATGCCTTTGTAATAAAGGCCTACATCCCACATGCCATTCTGATTGTTCCTGCACACTAACTTTGTGCTCCTTGACTGAGTATGCCCAAGTGCCTTTGAATATCAAAACTTGCTAGCTGTTGCCATTTAAAAATATTTTACCTTTGTGTTATGCCCAAAGTGAATAAATTCAAATCTCTCCACATTATAACCCATCTATCACCTTTTTGCCCATTAATTTAATCTAGTGTATCTCTTGTAGCCATTTTATACCCTCTTCACAGCTTACATCAGCTTTGATTTGTCAGCAAGCATAAATACATTGAATTAAATAGATAGATGGAGTAGTCATATAGATTGTAAATGGCTGAAGTCCCAGCAATGATCCTGGTTACACTCGACTCATTACAGACTCCCAACTTGAAAGGGCCCTGGTTATTCCAATTCTCTGGTTTTCAGCCATCAATTTGCTATTAATACTAATATATTACCCCATATCTTATGTGGAATCTTATTAAATGCTTCTAGCACAACCGCATTTATTTCTGAAGGATCTTGACCCGAAACGTCAAATTTCTTGCTCTTCTGATGCTGCCTGGCCTGCTGTGTTCATCCAGCTCCACTGTGTTATTACATGTATCCAATTGCATCCTCATAAAAACTCGTAAATTTGTCAAACACAATTTTCCTTTCATAAAACCATGTTGACTTTGATTACACAATAATTTTCTAAGTGCATTGTAAGTTCCATTAGGTGACTTCCTTAGTGATAGATTCCTGCATTTTCTTGATGATTGATGTGGTAACTGGCCTTTCTTTCTGTTTTCCGTCTGCATTTCCCAAACACCAGGATTATGTTTGCTAACTTCCAAACCTGAGAAACCATTCCAGAATCTAGGATATTTTGGAAAATTATAACCAGTACTTCTACTATCCAGCTACCTCTTTTAGAACTCTTGGATGCAAGTTATCATCTACTTGAGATTTGTTGGATTTTACTCCCTTCGGTTTTCCCATTTTTTTAAAACTCCTGGCATTAACTACCTTAATTTTTCAATTATATTAACCCCTTGGTCACCCTTTATGTCTGGTATGAAATTTGTGCCTCCCTTCTGTCTTCACAGTAGGAGGCAATGGCCTAATGGTATCATCACTACATTGTTAATCCAGAGACTAATGTAATGTTCTGGGAACCTGGGGTCAAACCTCCCCATAACAGATGATGGGAGACAACAAGGTGCAGGGCTGGATGAACACAGCAGGCCAAGCAGCATCATAGGAGCAGAGAGGCTGACGTTTCGGGCCTAGACCCTTCATCAGAAAAGGGGGAGGGGAAGGGGGTTCTGAAATAAATAGGGAGAGAGTGGGAGGCGGATAGAAGATGGATAGAGG